GCGGCAGCTTGTGGAGAAACAATTGTACCTCGACGTTTCAGCGGCGACCGGAAGAGCCGTTCGCAAAACTCCACGAACTTCCGTGTTCTAATTATTTACGAAGTTAATTTGTGGTAATGACAGAACAACCAACTGAACAATTGCAACAGAAGGATTGCGAGCCATATCCAGCTGAGGGAGGAAAAATTGTTGCTTCGGATTGTATTTTTTTCACTTGCCCAAGTTTTGTATCGTGTCTTCATCTTCCTGTTTGCATTAGTGTATCCGATGAATACAAAAAATTCGTAATTCGACAATTTATATTCATTCAAAATTTTTACATTAAGAAAATATTCATTCAAAGATTTATTCAAACTTGTGGGCTTTTAAAAATATTTATTCGTAAATATTTTATGATTATTTTATGATTTATTCATATTTATTCATACAAAATGTCTTCATTTTCCTGTTTGCTTTATTTCTCGAAAGATCCTCCTACGATAACTTCTATTTTTCTTTATTCCTACCACCGTGCAAGCCTTTTGTGTTCTTTACTTTCGGCCTTTATACAAATAAAAGTCACGGAGAATAGAAAAAGTCTCTTTTTCTATTCTCGTGACGAACTAGATGACCTTGATTCTTGGCACGCAAATATATTCATATTTGATACCAACGAGTATCTATTGAATTTGCGATGAATCGCGGCGATGATCTGTTACACGTTTAGAATAGTGTAGGTATATTTCCATTATTCGTCCATTAAAGCAGATCGGTACCGTTCAGCTTTCGGTACCGAGCAGCTTTCGGCCAGATTTCGGTTTTTTCAATTAGCACGATAATATAAAAGCCCGAAAGCTTTCGTTTTGCTATCGCTCGTTCAATCAAACGGCGCATTCAGGCAGATTGCGTATCATTGCCCTTAAAGAATACACCTAATCTCCCACTCGGAGATTCGATATTCGCAATATCCCCGACACCTCGAAAGGAAACAAACTCCCCCCCCCCCTCTCTCCCCCTTTCCTCTTCTCGCGGCCGCCACCTGCTGGTTTACATCACGCTATCGCGCGGTGTTGGCCGACGATTCATGCCGATAATGACGGCTTACGAGCAGCCAAGCCTTCCTCGACGGAAAGAGAGAGTGTCCACGTGCAGAGAAAGAAAGAAAGAAGGAGAAGGAGAGGGAGGACAGAGAGAGGGAGGAAGAGAGAGAGAGAGAGAGGGCACGTAACACGTGGTATAATCACGCGGCATTGAAACCACATATATCGCCACAATGGCGACAGAGAGGAGAATCGTCGTCATCGTCATCGTTGGCGGCTGTGCACCGGAATGATTAATGCGTCGCGCCGCTACGCCGTGCCGCGCCGCGCCGCGCCGCGCCGCACCACTCGGCCGCAACACTCACGTCTTAATTCCGCGGCATAATGCTCTTAACGATTTTGTACCGGGCTACGCGTGCTTTTGGTAGCTGATAAGCGCGACAAGCGTTCGGGATCCGCCGTTCGTTAGTCCCCGATTGTTCGTCCCGAGTGTCCGAGCGTATATATAGGTGTATATAGGTACGCCGGACGTCGTCATGCACGTTGCGCGGACGCGCTACGTCGTGCCCGATCGTGAATCGGTTATTAGCTAATCGTCAATCGGTTAACACACAGCCGATCGGGAATTAGCTAATCCGCGACGCGCCGGCGGGGAAAGCCATCACGTCTCGCGGAAGCCGTCGGAGTTGTCGAGAGATTTTACACCCGGATTCAACCCAGCAAACACAGATTATGACTGCAATATTGTAGCACCGTATCACGCAAAAAAATGGCTTAGCATTATATATATTAGCTATAGCTGATACCAGTGTAGCTGTAGTTCGAACTTTGCTGTCATTGCTAAAAGTTAGCTATTGCACTGAAAAAAAGTAATCTTGCAATAATAGCGAGAATTATGTAGGTACGAAAAATTAGTTAAAACGGATAAGTGATTAGTAAGCACTGCGATACCATATATAATGCGTTTTGTATTTAATCAATATAGATAACAGAGACAGAAAGTATATTTGAACTGATTTGTCAAATTTAGCAAGAAAGTTTCTCTATAACGTTTAATCAGTCCATTTATCCAGTTTATGGAGTCCAGACTCCAATCCAAACTCCAATCATATTTGGTTATGAGACCTATATTTTCTTGCGTACATTCTTAGAATATTGCTGCTATAAATTCTACGTATGATAGACAATTTTTTAGCAGATATAAAAAACAGCGATATAATTTAAGTGTAATATTTAGAATTCTAGCTGGAACAGCGAAACAATTCCCTGAGTGAACTGAAAAAAGTAATCTTGCAATTATAGCGAGAATTACGTAGGTACAAAAAATTAGCTAAAACGGATAAGTGATTAGTAAGCACTGCGATACCATATATGTTTTGTATTTAATCAATATAACAGAGACAGAAATTATATCTGAACTATTTGTCAAATTTAGTAAGAAAGTTCCTCTATGATGTTTAATCAATCCAAACTCCAATTTAGACTCCAATTATATCTAATTATGAGACCTATATTTTCTTGCGTACATTCTTAGAATATTGCTGCTATAAATTCTACGTATGATAGACAATTTTTTAGCAGATACAAAAAAACAGCAATATAATTTAAGTGTAATATTTAGAATTCTAGCTGGAACAATGAAACAATTCCCTGAGTGTATATTTTAGCTCCATTGGCTAATCCTTTCTCTGCGTATGCATTTGCAATATTTCTGCAATATAGCTGAAATGTTGCAATGTTGCTGCAACATTGCAGTTATAATCTGCGTTTGCTGTGTTGAATTTGGGTGGAAAATCTCTCGACAACCGTCGTTCAATTCTTTCATGTAATCGCGAAAATTAAGCGCAAAATTCGATTTACCTCGTCGAGAATCGTACGCTGAGATTATAGTTGCATTCAAAGGATCGTCGAATATAGATCTAAAATTTTTGGAAGTTAAAAGCCGATGAAATTAATTGATGTTATATTGTTATCCACATCTTAACCATGTTTGCCAATTGCACATCGTTAACTGTATTTCATTACCGACTCTCGGTTAGCCCTGATGGCCGAATTGATCCCTGTCACGGGTAAAAGTGTCATTTTTATCAAAGAAGAGTAAGAAGGAGAGACGAAAGGGAGAGAGAAAGAGACGGAGCGCGTTCGGCTTCTTTGAATAGGGAACAATCCCGGTAGGCTCGTTCCCAGGCGCGCGGTGAACGTGCACCGAACGCGCGTTTCCTATACGCGCCCGAGCTAGTCGGAACTAGTCGAAAAGGAAGAGAGTCCGGCACAGGCGTGCGCTTAAATTGATTTATAGCGAGGGAATGATGAGGCGATGCCGCGCGACGTTAAACGCCGCCTTTACGAGGCCGCCGCGCCGCGCCGCGCCGAACCACCACCTTTTGCCTCTGATTGCGGATCATTAATCAGCGGGGTGTCTCGCGCGCTACCTCTCGCGCCACGTTAACGCGCGGAGTGGACCCGTCTCCTCTATCTCTGTCTCTGTCTCTGTCTCTCTCTCTCTCTCTCTCTCTCTCTCTCTCTCTCTCTCTCCCTCTCTCTCTACGGGGATTGAGTCCTTTCTTGGTCTAATTATATATCGGGACGCGCCGCGAATCGGTACGCGCCTCTCGCGAAATCCCGAATCGTCGAGCGATGATTGATGGTCGCTCCCTCTCTCTTTCTCTCTCTCTTTCTCTCCCCTTCACCCTCACTCCTCTACCGTCTCTTTCTCTACGTCTTCACGATGGGCGACGCGCGCATTTTTCACCATCTCGTAGAGACGGACATGAAGAGAGGAATCTCGAGGTATTTCGATCACAAAGAACTACAAATGCAATGAATAACGCGCGTGGGAAATGTAATATTCGTTCGAGAAAATGAGTAAAACGAGTGTAATCTCGCTCGAGACACACATACATATATAGGTACACGAAAAGAACAATTTTGCTGAATCCAGATCTGAAAATAATTTTTGTTCAATAATCAAAATAATTTTGCGCAAAAGTCAAAGTGATTGCTGGAATATCAAAACGTTCTATAGCAATGCTCATCAGCTTTAACATTCCAACAAATTATTTTAATAATTCAACAAAAAATTTATTTTCAAATCTGTTTTTAGCAAAATTTTTAGACAACCTTCAACAAAATCGTTCTTTCCGTGTATGTGTGTGAGAGATCGCGAGAGATTGTAATCTTTATCCGCGCAAAATAAAATAAAAGCAAGGTAAAAATTATCCACTCAAGTTCTCCTTCGTTGCCGTGAAAGTGATGATATAATTCGCCGCGGTATATCGGTGACTCGAATCTAACCCCGCGAGCAATTCGCGCCCCGTCAATCGTTCCCTGAGCGTACCCCCGGCCCCTAATTTGTGCCAATATTTGCACGGCGGATCAAACTGTGTTTGATTAAATACTTAGTCGCGCTCGCCTAATCTAGTAGCGCCTAAGACGGGTGCTCGTAGCGCTTCCATCGAGAGAGGGGGGGAGGGGAGGGAGAGTCCCCCAATGTTTGCCCGCGCCGATCGGCGCCGTTTTGTCAAGGATTTGACTTGGACAGGCAGCGGCGCGTTAACGCTTTGCGCGGCTCGAGGGATTTTATCTGCCCTTTCGGAGGCTGCGTTCTCTGTTTGAAAACTGAACAGGTGGCGCGATGGCTATCGCGCTCCCTTACTTCTCGGGCGCGATTTCTCTGCAGCCAGCTAGAATCTTCATCCCAAATTGATTTGCCCCTTTTCAAAATAGCCACGATTATTTTTATTCATTATCCGCCGTTTAATCTCAATCGGACACGCGTATCAATCGGTGTCAGATTTTTACCCTCTTCCTCCCTCTCCCCCCTCCCCGCCTTCCCCCCGTCCCTCCGCGCACACAATCGAGTCATTGACGAGTGATTGTCCACGCTGCTGGTGGGACACAGAGCGGGATTTAAACGCGCGACAATCGAGGATCACGACCTCCCGATGAAAAAAGAAACAAAAAACTGTACGTACGTGGGGTGTACCAGCTGATTGCGGCGACCATAAATTCGCTTAATGTCTTCATATGGCGACGATCGGAATCGGGGGAAGGGTTGGGGCCGCGCTGGGACAAATACTCAACATTCTCCCCCACTCCCGCTGTCTGTCTCTCTACGGCATTAAATCCACGAGGGTGGCATAATGCGGCTCACGATCCGCCGGCTCGATATCGGAAGAGGGATAAACAAGCGATTTTTGCAGCCATTTGGTGGCACGTACTTGATGGATTGCGAGGAAATGCAATCGCACGGTAATGGATTTAAATGGAATTTAATTATTCCGTGGATTATGTTATTCCGGCTCTTCAGCCGTTATATTTGCGTTAACATATATTGTTAGCGCAATTGGTGCTGCCGTTCTGTTTTATGTACAATGCGAATGATGACGTATTGTTTTATCTTTATTTAACATTCAATGTGAACAATAAAGAAAAAAATAATACATTGTGCGCATAAAACGAAACACATTCTATGTGACTAATTGTTAACGTTTCGCATGGAAAAGAAAAGAAAAAGCATAGAAAAAAATCTTTTAGATGTATATTGTTGTACAAAAATACGTGATATATTCAGTTATTCAATCCTATAATCTTGTAGCAACTTTTAAATTCAAATCTACAAAAATATTTATAATTTTTTATAATAATACGATATATATATGTATATATATTTTTTTTGCTAGAGATATATGTATAAACGAAAATGCGTATTTACGTGACTAAACTGAAGCCTTGCAAAATCCACGTGAGAGCATCTTTCGACCTTAGGATAAATTCGGCAAAACACGAAGGACCAGATAGCAACGGTGTAAAAACGAAGAGCGTGAAAGGGGCGCGAGGGAAGTGCAAGCGATTCGTCACAGATATTATTTGAAGGGGCTCCCTCGTGGAGCAGGGGCACAATACAAGTCAACACGGCTGTCTGCGTAATGAAGTAGTTTCTGGAGGGTCGGGTCCCACCTAACATAGCGAAGACGAGGCCAGAGGGGAGCCAGTAATTGGGGGGTAGGCCACTCTACCCGCAACCCCCAGGGGGACGACGAAAACCCCTAACATATGCTCTTCACGGTTCGCTCTTTCTCTGTTCTCCTGCGCCTCTCTTTCTCTCTCTCTCTCTCTCTCCCTCTTTCTTTCTCTGTCTCTATCATCGGACTCCTTTTCTATCAAAACGAGCAATTTGATCCGCGTGTAATAGATAAATCTGTATCTTGAAGTTACATTATCATAAATCGCAGTTACTTTATTTTTTTGTAGAAAGTTCGAGAAGATTATTATTCTCTGTACTCAGAGAAAAAAAAACGTGTATATGTAGTAATGACAACTATAAAAATTTAACAACTTAACTTAAATTCTTACAAGTTTTATTTGTAGAATTAATGTACACAGTTAAATAAACTATTTAGTAGTTATAATAATTATACATTAGTTTATTCAACTATGTACATTAATTCTATATATAAAACTGTGTATACATATGTGTATGATGTATTTATTTATATAATATATACTATATATATATATATACATATATTTATTTATTTATTTATTAAGTGATTTAAAATTCCCAAGCCATTTAATCTGCAATCTTACGATCGATGTCTCACTTAAAATTCCGAGACATAAATTATCTAACAATTGAAACGTTTTCCGCATTTTTTATACTTCTGGTAAATTCTCGTTGATTTACTTTTATTGTGTCAATACACCGCGCGGAACGCGCAGGAAACCATAATTCTGATACTTTTTCTTCAGACACAGTCGCTCTTATTTGGTTTGGCGAGATCAAAAATTTATATTATATATATATATATATATATATATGTATATATATATTTATTTATTAAGTGATTGAAAATTCCCAAGCGATTAAATCAATCTTACGATCGATGTCTCACTTAAAATTCCGAGACATAAATTATCTAACAATTGAAATGTTTTCCGCATTTTTTATACTTCTAGTAAATTCTGGTTGATTTACTTTTATTGTGTCAATACACCGCGCGGAACGCGCAGGAAACCATAATTCTGATACTTTTTCTTCAGACACAGTCGCTCTTATTTGGTTTGGCGAGACCAATCGTGACGTCGGATAAATGTCGCTGTCGCGGTCACCTGTCAGATTCACATGACCGTCGCGCCGGCGGCTTTTCCGCGGCGGGGATGAGTACGTGTGTGTCGCCCCCACATTTTTCACGTCGTATTTCCACGTGACTTCCATGTGCTCGTTAGCGTCGGCTTTGAGTGAAATCGAGAGCGTTCGACGTCACCGCGGCGTAAGCGGAAGGAGAGAAAGAGAGAACGGGGGAAGAGGCGCGCGCGCGCGCGCCAGGGAAGGAAAGGGAGGGCGTACGGGAGTTGAACCGCGTCGGCGAAGTTCCTCTCTAATTGGGGTGCGACGGCGACCGGCGCTCGGGGATGAAATCCCCGGCTACCGTCCTCTTCAAGCACCGACCCTCTTCTTCGTGACCGATTGCGTGCTTCGCTCTATAGGATTTTCGATTGAAGACACGCTCGCAAAAAGGGGCTAACTCTTGAAGTTAAAAAAACGAAATAGAGATAGAGAAAGAGAGAGAAAGACAAAGAATATGTAGCACCTCATATTTTTCGATGTATTTTTCATTGCACTCAAAGAAATCGAAATTTCTGTATTCTTAAATCCCATAAAAATTAGATATTTCCTCACATTAGATGCATGTCGAAACCTGGAAATATTAATATTGTATATCTATGGAATTGTGAAAATGATTGCTTTTTAAAAACGTTAATAATTCCGGATCTTTAAAATTGTCGAATTTCATAAATTTCAAAGATGTATGAAAATTTGCGGTTTTGAAATTTTCCATCATTCTTTAGATTCCGAATCTCCGCATTATTTATTACAACTATTTCGTTATCAGCGTTTTGTATCTTGATATATCGCAATTTTATTTCTTTCAATTACAAGGCATTATGTAAATATGCTCCACAAAGCTCAAAATAGCTCTGGCAGCCCAATATCAACACACACAGTATTCATTTTACTTCCTGCACCCTCTCCGCCCCAATTTCGCGGTATTTCAAACGAATACAAAAATCATTCGCCATTGCACCGCTGAATGCTTAACATAAATAGCGGAAGTGATCGCATTAGGTCCACGCGTTAACCTCGGCAAAGCGTGAAGCGTTTCTTGCCTGTGTGTCCCCATCGCCCCCCCCCCTTCCTCTCGCCCCTCCGCAGCACGCATCGCGCTCCCAGGTTCAGGTTTATTGCGTTTTGTGTTATGTTAAGCTTTCGGCGGTACACAAAAGGTGCGCCGACGGTTAATGCGGGGTGACGTGTGTTTATAAATACGTGACTGCCGACGTCGAAGGGTCGTTCGACAGCGTGTTTCACCACCGAGTCGTACACCACGTAATTGCCGTCCCATAAATCACCGCGCGAATGTTATCGCGATAGAAAATTGAAAAAATGCTGAATAATAAATAATTGAAAATCGAAAAGACCGTGCGACTCACGAACAATTAATTAGATTGAAAATCAGATTAATCTGTATGAGGTTTATCACGTGTCATCTTATTATCGTCCAACTTGAAGGTTAATTTATCGTGCGTATCGTAACGGCAACTCCGCGCATCTACCACTCTTTCCGCCCCCGACGCGCCTAAGCTTCTCTCCGCCATTTTCCTCTCGCAGTTTGTTATGTTGCAGAAGTCTCCTTTTATCCCGAGAAACTCGACACAGCCTGCCGAGCTCTCTGCTTTGTCAAAATAGCCTCTTCCCCCCTCCCTCCTCCTCCCTCCCCATCCCTCCCCCGATTTCCTCCCCAACGCAACCCTCGCAACTCTCACTCGCTCGCCCGGTTTCCACCCCGTTTCCACCGGTTCTCACCGATCCCCCTCCTCTCTCCTCCCCTTTCCTCTCTTTCCCTTTTCTCTCCTCTCCATCCGTCGAAGCTAACCTTCCTTACGAAGAGTGAAATTACCTTCGTTACGCGAAACTCGGCTCGCCCCAACCCCTGTATCGAACTCGCCCTCTCTCTTTTTATTTTTAGTGTCCCCCTTCCCCTTTACTCCTGCCTTCGCTTCCTTTTTCTTTCCCCGAGGCGCCACATATATATAGAATATATATTAGTTCGGAAAAAGAAAAAGAAATAATATGCTCTTTAAATATCATAGAGTGGTTTCGCCGCACTAATGTATTAAAGTGATTGCGATTGTCACTCTAATTTGAGTGCATACGGACGCTCACAAAAAGATCGACTGATAAAATGACTCTACACAGTGAAATTTCCCACTCAAAAGTGTAGAATCATATAATTTACTCTCATACTGATCTGCACATCCGAAAAGAGTGCACTTTTATTCAAATCGAATGCAATTTCATACCAATTACAGAATACAATTTCATTTTTTTGTTATATTCGTATTTCTGTCGTTTTGTCTCAATCTTTGTATTTTATATATAAATATAAATGTTGTATATAAATATACATATATATATTTATTTATTTATTATAATTTATAATACATATAATATATATGTACACGGAAAGAACGATTTTGTTGAAAGGTTGAAAAATTTTGCTAAAAACAGATCTGAAAATAATTTTTTGTTAAATCATCAAAATAATTTGTTGGAATGTTAAAACTGATAAGCATTGCTGTAAAACGGTTTAATATTCCAGCAATTACTTTGACTTTCGCACAAAATTATTTTGATTTTTGAACAAAAATTATTTCCAGATCTGGATTCAGCAAAATCGTTCTTTCCGTGTATGTATGACACACGTGTAAATACACATGGGCGTTAAGAGAAAGATTTTATTGCGCCATTTTTGCTACCTCCTCCGAGCAGCCCTTGGGGATGATGCTACGAAAGTAATGGTTCCTTCAGAGACCGAGCAACCCGAGTCGCTACGTGACGCCCGGGATTTATGGTCAGTCGTGACGACGACTTTTTTTTTATTATTTTCTGTCCAGCGCGCCGTGTCCCGACACGCGCGCGCGCGCGCGCTCGCGCGCAGCGAGGAGGAAGGAAAGTGGAAGCGAGGTCCGTCGGGCGATGAGGGAGACGATAAGCGGGAAGATACCATGGGAGGTTATTCCACCTCGCCAGAGAAGTAAATTAGACAACACTTAGATTGTGTGCGCGATATTAAGAGGAGTATACTATAAACAGAGATCACTTTGAGATTTCTATATATAGTTCCCAGAATCCGACGTATATTCGAGTTTCGCTGGGGGCGGGAGGGGAGAGGGGGAGAGGTTTTTTCTCGAACCCCCTAATATCTATCGCCACCGACGCTGCAACAAAAGGATTCTGCCTTACGGGTTCCGGTTTCGTCGCGCACCTGGGACACGGGAGGGTCCCGGCCCACGGACGTGGAGGATTATTATCTCCGTGAAGATAAATGGAGTTCATTGATGAACGATCAATCGTGCGCCGAGGGGAATCATCACGTCATTGTCGGAGGCTACCTTGTCAAATCTGCTACACGGAGATTTGCTACTCGCATTAGGGAGAGAGCACGGACGGATCTCTGGAACGGTGGCGAATGGCCGCCTTCTATCTCATTCAAATTAGGCCGGAGATCTCAGAGAGAGACACTTCAGAGAGAGAGAGAGAGAGAGAGAGAGAGAGAGAGAGATTTTGAATTACAAAAGGGCTCGATTATTTCTTCGATATAATAAAAAGGAGCTTCATATTTAATTTATATATTTATAAATATATGGGAAAAAAATTGCTGTTGCCACAACCTAATAATTGTGATAATTTTCGCCCATCAATTTAGAAGAGTTATAGGAACTAAAATACTTTGGAAGTGATTTATATAGTTAACTGAACTCTCAGCCTCAATGTTGTGACGTGCAACTATATCATATATATCTCTCAATCATACTATTTGTTGTACAGACCATACTAGAGAGATAACAATAATGCTTCGGTTGAGGCAACCACATATATGAAGATATTCTAACCGAATATTATTTATCCTAAGCACTACGGTTGTGACAACCGTACTGATGAGCATACCATAACAGATGAATGCCATGTAACATCAATATAACTTAAATTCACATGCATTTCTTTTCCAAACATAGAGAATATTGTTGTAACATCTACAGCAATTTTTTCCGTGTGTATTTACATATATTAGGACGGGAATCGAGAAGAAGAACGATGTCAAACCGACGTTGTCACTTGTTACCATATTGTGATTCGCGTCAATCACCGCTATAAATGGATTAACAACCCAATTGTCGGACACATGCGCCGATTTGCCATTATTATTCAGACCTCACACCCCGTTTCGTGCGTCTCTTCAAGCTTTCGCGCGGGTGTCGCTCACCGCGGAGGGAAAGT